AACTGCTATTCTGAATTTTCCTTCTGCTTCTCATGCTTCCCCTAGGTAGTGACCAGGAAGGTCACAGACTTACTGAAAGCTTTATGTTTTGGTCTATCTTCTTAACCATTAGCTTCTCTTGGTTTCTGCCTGTCCTCTGAATCTGCTTTTTCAATCTTCATGCTTATTCTGTCAGTTACAGAATATCCTTCCATTCAAGCTCTTTCCTACTTAAATTAACCACAGTTTCTAGTGTTTGAAACTGAAGTCTGGAGCACCACCCCCACCTCCTATCTTTTGAACTACTTTTCTTTTATTTCTGCCATTATCTGGCTCATTAGGTAGACAGTTGTGGTTAATCTTTGGGCCAAGTCAGGTCATCCATCCATTCCCACACCAAATATTAAGCACTATGCAGGCATTAGTGGTACACAGAATTCAGGTGCCTGTGACCTGGGATAAGGACCTATAAGAAGGAATGCCTTAAAGGATCAAGGGGACTAGATTTGTAAATGGACTTGGAAGAAGCAGTTAGTGATCTAAAATTACATATTTACTTGGTATCAGGTCTATAATTTCGGTATTCCTTATTTTTTCAGTGAAATTTACTTAGATCTTCTACCTACAATGTGTAAGACTTGGAACAATATAAAAAAAAAAATCTCAGAACTGCTTTTGTGTACTTAACATGAGCTTCCAGCCCTGTAGCCCTAGTTGAGCCTCGTAATTCATCCTCTTGCTTTGAAGAGCCCCCTTTAGGGTACCTTAAGGTTGTAAGAAATACTAAACGGACGGATCCATCATAGCAGCTTTAGAACAACAACGTTTTTATTCCATGCAAAATCTTTTATTTCTGAACTCCATCAGCACATTAGCCCTTGACCTAGAGGATATGTCATGTTAGTTAATTAATACGTTAAACAGAAAGTTACCAGATCATCTGCCTAAGATACAACAGTTTATTTTCCAGTAGGTACTGTAACCAAGATAAAATCTCATTTTGAGCCTAATGTTCACACCATGCTCTAGAGCCATTTTTCTCAGGGCCCATCCCCCTTCTATAGAACTATAGATTACAGACATAAAACAAGACAGTGTGCACTGGCATCAAGTCTTGCTCCGCATTTTGTCTTTTTTATTGCATTCTGGTTTCATTCTTAGTTGTCATCTAGCACTCTTCTGTTTTTCATTGGGAAGAATATTTTAGATAAATGAATTTATTTGACTGTACCATCTATGGCACTCTCACTAGGGGCTTAAAACAATAAGTTAGCTTTTAGCATGAGGCTTCCCCTTTAGAATACCAAAACTGAGCAGCGTCTAAGCCCGTATCTATTTTAATGTGCAATCTAAATCAAGAACCAAGCCATCAAAGCTCTCCTGACCAACAGCCAAAGAGGTGTTTCAGAGATAGGGAATACAACTCTCTTTTTTTAAAACCAGAAAATTAGTCTGTTATTCAATGTAAACAGTATCTAAAAAATAATGTCTAAAATGTTTATGTTCCTAAAATAGTGCATCTTTTTTTTTTTTTTTTTTTTGGTCTTTGAAGAGACATGCCAAGATGATATAGTTCGACACTGGTAAAGAAAACTAATATCCTAGGAGAGGATCTCTCAGCCACGGACCTTGTTAACAATGGGCCTGAAGCCTCTACAGTTAATTCTGAAAGATTAACACTTTAATCATGTATCAAAGAAGAAATAATAGGCATATTTCAAGAAGGCAAAACATGGCAGATGTCAATATTTTTCTGGAATAGTATCAATTCTTTTCTATGGAACTGATACTAAAAATGAAATTAGTGTGTGTCTTCTTCACTAGGAATTTTTCACTTGCATACACATGCCAACATGGCTTATCTCCAAATACCTGGCTGTTCTTTGAATAGTACATTTAAAGAGTGTGGTCACCAGATGAAGAATTTGAGTTAAGGCTACAACCCCAAAGTCTGTGCTCTCCCCTGTTATCTCCAGAGATTTCAGGATTGGCTTTCACTAAGAAATTATAACCCTAAGAACTTCCTGCTTTCGTATTTAAAGTTCCAAATAAATATTTCCACTTAGACTCTCTGGAAAATGGCTTTATTTGTTAATTTTGTAACAAACAGTTATGCTCTTGGGGCCATAAAGGTGTGGGAAGATTTAAATTCCTTTAAGTTTACTTATTTGGAGAGAAGGAGAGTGTGTGCACACAAGCAGGGTAGAGTCAGAGAGAGGGACAGACAGAATCCCAAGCAGGTTCCACACTCTGAGCACAGAGCCCCATGCAGGGCTAGAACTCATGACGGATATCATGACCTGAGCTGAAATCAAGAGTGGGACGCTTAGCTGACTGCGAGACCCAAGGGCCCTGGGTGTAGGAAGATCTAGAACTCAACTTTAAGCAGTTTAGAATTCAAATCTTGATCATCGTCTCAAATCAGTTCACACAGAAGGAGAGGGGAGCAGGAAGAGGAAGCAGCATAAGGGTAGACAGCTAACAAGGAGGTCATACACAGTATTTATTGGGTCAGTCACTTACCTGCTAGCCTGAGTCAGTCACTTACCTGCTATAATAAGGATGCAGAAGATCAGCTTCCTAACTAATATCAGGAAGTCACAGTCAGTCCAGAGAGTATTACTAACACGCAACGCAAAGGCAGTTTGGAGGGAAGCACAATTTTTTCTTTTCTTACTACTTAAGAACCGAAGGCATGTGTTTAAAATGTTCTGAGGGTAGAGGTATCCTGCCCCCCAAATCAGTGTTTCCTATTCTTAGCCTTTTTCTCTGCAGTTTTAAATATTACCCATGCAAGAGTTTCACTGTGTCATAAAATTCAGTAGTTCATTGTTTCCTACCTCTGAATGGCCGCAGTTGTCATGAAAACACTGCCATGGCTCAGGTCCCAAATCGTAAGCCAACCTAAACCTGCCACGTGGTCCTTTCTTCCTGCGACTGTCCGCTGCTTTCCCCAAGTTCCCCCCTTCCCCCCTTCACACAGCAGGTAAAAAGCAAGCACATGGCACCTTTGTCAGCTGGGTGGCCGGGCCGTTGCAGGCATCCAAAGGTCAAAGAATCATCTGTGTTGAGAGGACGACTTGCTGAACCCAAATGTACTGTTCTTCCAGTCTAAACCCATCAGGCAGTGCTTACTGTCTAGAGCTACAGCAGCTAGCCTTGAGTTCAAATCTGTATTGTGGAATTTGAACCACTGAAGCACCCATCACCACAAAAAACCTCTATGAATCTTGTTAACAAAACAGGAAGAACTTCTGCCAATAGCTGAGAAATAAATTCCTTCTTTCCTGCTGCTTGGACCACAGCATAATGAGCACTCCCAAGCTCTCTCTGCAGTAATAAAACAAATGCCCAGGCTTTTTCTTTTGATGTGTTCCAGTTTAAAAGTTTAGAGTTGATGCCTTTTCATCCTTAATTTATCTTCCCTTGTAAATATTTCTGTACCCTTTCCAATATCTAAAGTCTACACATTTTCAAAGTATAATTCACTCCTTCTCCGATTTCAGTTGTATAACTTTATGCTATGGGTCAAATTTTGGGCTAAATAAACATACCTCGGGCTACAGCCCTGCAAATACCTCTGGCAGCAAATTAATTCAAACAAATGTTTTGGTTGGGTGGTGAGGTTGTTTTTTAATAATCTTTCTGATCTGCCTGGAGGTCCAAGGATAGACTAGGTGAACTCCCAAAGGCTTTCTAACTTTGTATTTTCTGCCACATTAATAGCAGGCTCTTGAAGTTTGTTGAAGTGGTTGGTTTAAAATTTCACCACCAGAGGGTGCTACTTGTTTGCTTCTAAAATTCATTTCACTATCAGATTTGAAAGATGGAGGCCCCGTCACCAAGACTTGTCCCTGCAGCAGCCAGTATAACCCAGGAAAGGTTTCCAGAAGACCTGCAAGCAACGCTCTACTCAAGGAACCAGATTTCACGTCACTATGGACATTACGTGTTTGGAACCAAAACTGAAAATCTCTGTAGCTTGCACAAACCCAACTGCACTAATTTATATATTTGTTGTAAAGCAAACAAGGCATTTGAATAATTTTCCATCCTCGTGGCTTTTGCTCAGTATTTACTACGTAACGACAATGAACCCCAAACTCTATAACATCCTCTTCACCACACCAAACAATAAAATAACATAAAGTAAAAAGAGAAATTGCTGAGCTGTAGCGATCATGCTATTTTCCAACAATGTAAACTCCTCTTATCACATATCCCTCTTCTGCTCGGATGTAGTTTCTTATTTCTAGGGAACATTTTATCAGCTTCAATTTCTCTTACTGTATTTTTTTGATTGACTGGGATGTGCATGTGAATTTTCCACCTGGAGGTTTCTGGTATGCGTGGAATTCAGTTCCCGTTCACCTATGTAGAGTGTGCATTGAAAACTTTTTTAAATTTCAAATTTTAAGTTTTAGATGGTAAGACATTCTAATGTGTTGTCATCTGAATGGCAAAGCCACTCAGGGGTCAACAAAGTTTTTCTATAAAGTGCCAGAGTGTAGTAAAGATTTTTAGCTGTGTGAGGTGTTAAGTTCTCTGCCACGCTACTCAGTTCTACCATAACAGCAAAAGTAGCCACAGAGACTATAAACACCAATGACCAGCTGTGGTTGTAATTCACCTTTACTTTGAGGAACAGGTGGTGTGCTGCTATTTGCTGACTCCTGAAAATGATGAATCTTAATGTACAGACTGTTCTTACTGATAAAATTCAGAAAAGTTTCTATTATGTCACCCTGTGATGATTTTGTCTTTCCTCATACAGTTTTGTACAAAGTGTGACCTAATCAATCCATTTTAAAGTTCATGGGTCCTTTGGAGGAGTACCACTGGGCTCCCTGTCCAGAGCTTTCAAAATCTGAGTCAAAGGAGGCTTAGACTTTCAGTGCGGCATTATGTTTATGTCCTATGAAGACCTGCTGTGGTAAGATATAAAATCAAGAAGGATGTGACACCCTGGCATTTCTCCTAGAGATAATATGAAAAGCAAACAAAAGACATAGTTTATTTACCTTCAGACTGATGTGTAGCCAGAGGGGTCTGGGTCTCCTTGGAGTACGACACGACTTCCCGGGGCAGGAAATCCACTTGGGTAACCTTTGACACACCCAGTCTGTGCAGTCTGCGTCTGTAAGCAACAAAGGACAAACACTTAAGGAGGGAAGGCATTCTTTGCAGAAGAGCTGTCAGTAATAATGCACAGGACCAACATAAAGCCCAACCTGCAGTTTCTCGGTGCAAGGGGCTTGGGCTGGAAGCTGGGACACTTGGCTTCTTGGCCCACTTTGGCCCTAATTTGCTGGTGTGTCAGATAGGTCCCTCAAGGTCTTGGTCTGGCTCAGAGAAGACATTTCCATGCTGAGAACCTTTGATTTTGCTTGTTTTAAATCAATAAAGGGAATTTTCATTGGTAATACAAGATTCTAGCCTCTTACATGAGATGGACAAAGGAAAAGTAGTGATCGTCAAGTCAGAAGAAAAGAAAGATGATTTCTTAGTGGGGTAACGTGTTTGCTAGGATAGGATCAAGAGAAGCACATTCCAAGGGGGGTATAACACTTCTTAGTTCCACAGAGGAGGAAGTAACACAGATCAGCATGTGAATTTGTTTAAAGGCACATTGCTATAGCATAGGTGAGTGAAGAGGGCACTGGGCTAAGAGTGATAAAGTTTTAGCTTGGATTCCCCAACTGTGACCATGTGAAAAACAGTTTCTAAATATTTATGTCACACTTCAAATGTTTTCAGACGTCTCTAACATCTATCAAGTCCTCTGTCCTCATAACACCTCTGGGAGTCATATGGGAAGGTGTTATCACCATCTCCATTTTATAGATGAGGAAAATGAAATGAGTGTAAGAGACATGTCCAAGTATATAGAACTCATAAATGTACTGTTGGCCTAAATCCTGGTCCGTGCCTTTTCCACCAAGCCAGCTCCTATTTAGGGTTCTGAATGGTGGTTTCTGAGCTACTGCAGAGATCCAAAGTGCTTTCTGAGTCACCCAGGAACATCTAAGTCATGGCGGCAGCAGAGTCTGATGATTAGGCACATACACTCTAGCCCCCCACTTACCAGCTGTATGTGTCATCTTAAACAAGGTCTCTAACCTCTCTGCGCCTCTGGTTTGTCATCTATAAAATGGAGATATTACTAGTACTTGCTATTAGGATTATTATGGTGATGTGTACGTACTGTGCACATATAATGCATATACTACATATATATTATGTACACATATGTACATAATTTCCACACTTATATCTTAAAAGTTTCTGGAACGTTATTTTTAACAGATTGATGTAATACTAGGATGCAACACATTCTACTGTGTTTCCTAAAAATTTCTAGGCATAGAGTATGTGTTCCTCTCTCTGAAAGAAAGAGAAAAAGGTGAAATGAATGCAAACCTCAATAGCTCATACAGGAAATCCTAGCTACACTCCCTAGCTCTCTCTATGGCCAGTAAAAGCACTTTCTATTCATATTATTGATTTTAATTATTATTAGCACATGGCACAGACTCATTGTATTTTTAGTACTACTACTAATAATAAAATGAAAGAAAAATGCATGTCACAGCTAGAAATTTCCTTGTACAATTTCCCAAGCATTAGGAAAAAAAAAATGTTTCTTCTTTTGTAGGAGTTACTCAGACAACTGAGGTGATATCTAAGATGTGTACAAAGTGGATGTGCACAAAGTTCTATAAACCTAGGCTTAGAGGACAAGCCTGTTTGGCCATCTCTGAAGTGCCCATAAGCACAACCATAGTCGTAGCTGCACGCAGGCCTGGGCCTCACTCACTCAGAAGTCTACACCACAGAGAGCCAGGCTGGGTTCCCAGAACTCCCCGCAGCCTCCTCACACAGAATTAGTGGAAAACACACAAAATACACTAGAAACAAAGTTGCCGAACAATGTAAAAGGCTCAAAGTTTCAAAGTAAGAAATTCAGGTATTAGTTTAACATCTTAAGTGAGAGAAGAATGTTTTCTTTCCTGAGCTGGGTCTTTCTCAAAGCACTTGACAAAGCAAGCATGAATAGACACCCCAGGGGTAATGCTCCTCCTGCTGTTTCATGGCCCAGAGCATCTTTCTGAGGTCGCAAGAGGTCAGGCTGCATCACACAAGCAAAGACATGGAAAAGAAACATGTGCTGGTATGACAGCCCCACCTTTTCTAATGGAGTCCCCCCCTGGCATGAAGGGATAGGGCTGGATCCTAGACTTCTATGGGCATCTGTGTGAGGCCCAGAAATCTCCATACTTCCACTGAAAGGTACCAACACCTTCAGGCAGGGGTTCTATGGTTTCTTGTTAATGAGACATAAGCCATAGGCCTATCTTGCTGGGTAACCAGCAGCAGGCATGGAAATAGGAGTCTCACATGCAATGTGATAATCCATCATGGCAAATCAAAACCAACAGATAAGACAGTATGGCATAATGGTTATGTCATGGACTCATTCAGAAACAAATCTGGGTTCAAATCTATGCTTGGTCACTTATCAACAGAGTGGTAGGTGAAAGCTTTGGACAAGTGACAAACCCTACTAAGCCTGAAGCTTCTTATCTGTAAAATGGGTACATATCATTCTGAAGACAGAATGAAGCTAATACTTGTAAAGCACTTACTTCTGTGCATGCACATAGCAAGCAGCTCCTGGCTTAAGCATCTCTGCTTTTAATTTCTCTTTTTGGCTGATAATGCTTGTATTTGTTTTAAAAAAACAGAGAAGACAGATTTATGAATGCTCTATGTTTAAGATTCCTTAAGACAGCAGATTTGAAGATTATCTCTTTCAATGAAGCATAAGAATCACACACTAATGTCTTTATATGAACACATTGAAAGAGTCTATTTGCTTTTTCTTTAACTGAAAATACTATCCTTGTGACACTTCTCAGCTTTCAAAACTTAGCTTGAATAAGTGAGCTTATCTCACTAAACAAAATGTTTTCTTTTCTCAATAACCATCAGAAAGTTTCAACTGGTCTCTCGCTGATGCTATATTTGTAAGCTCAGGGTCCCAACTCAACACCATGCCATCAAGAATAAATAAAAGCTAAGTTGTGATCAAGTGATTCTCTTAATGTGCTCATTGGCTGATACATTAGTAAACTTGTGGTCTATTTCCCTTGAGGGTAATTTTGTCTTAAATGATTTATAATGTTAAAGCAACTTTGTATAACACTACTTACAGGGTAATGGATATATTACTGTATCTTTCCATGCAGTCTCCACATTGATTAAGCTGCATTTATAGCAAATGCTTTTACTCTTTGTGGGTATTCTGCTGTGGCTTTAGTAACTGTGTATTTATAATGCATATAAATACTTTTTATACATTATTTTATTATATTCCCATTATAATTTTACATCCTATTCCAATTTTACACTTGAGAAAATTAAGGCTCAGTGATAGTAAGTCATTTGCTCAAAATCACAAAGGTAGTAAGTGACAGATGCAGGCCTTGGCTCTGTCAAACAGCAAGTTCAAGGGCCATGTTCTTAGAAACTGTTCTCTGTTGACCTTGTCCTTCGATTTTTTTTTTCCTAATGCCTAGGAGCATCGCCTCATGGAGGCACACTCATACAACCTAATATAGTAGAGGGTCAAGCACATGTGATCATTTTATAAGTATGAGAAAGTATTCCTGAGACACAGCCAGGCCTAAATTATGAGGTCATAATAGAAGGATCCCGTTTGCAAGGTGAGAAGCATACAATGGTTCTCAGCCCTGGCTGGTGAGACAGGTTGGCCAGTAGGTGGCACCCTTCCATAGCAAAGACCTTCCTCTCAGGTATGTTCTCCGAGTCCTCCATTCTGAGTATTTCCTATGCCAGTCCTAGGGCCTGCATGTCCGTGGATCTAGAATCCATCTATTTATATAACTCTGTGATTGAGGCCTTCTTCAACTTCCCTTTTTGTAGAAAACTATTTCTACAATTTTATCAGTTGACAAATTATTATAAAATGTTTAAGAGATGAAGTACACAGTAGTTATTTAAGTATGAACTTTGAGCATCATATATTTTTATGCAAGCTGTATCAGTTCATATTTCTTTTATACAAGGATACAAATTAAACTGCTTAGCAATAGAGGGGAAAAAACCAGTGCAGCACTAATGTTACTATAATTCCTTTTCCTTCTAATTAGGCTATAAATTCCATACTAGCTCTTCAGTTCTGGCTCTGGGATTGCTTAGCTGCCATCCCACTATCCCTCCTGCAAAGCTCATACTCTCACCTACGTACAAAAAGACTTCCGCCATCACCCCAGTACAGGCCACTGTAGTCACCTCTTTTCATGTCTGACATGACTGCACGCTTGCTTCTTTATCCCTTACTGATTCATCTCTGTAGCTTGGGCCTCAGTTCAGTGTCAGGGACAGAAGAGGCACTAAATAAATGTTTGAGGAAGGAAAGGAGGGAAGAAGAGAAGACTAGAAAGGGAGAAAGGCAGAAGGCATCTTACAGAAATGTAAATTGAGATTTTAATTGTCAAATGCCAGGTGGACATGGCATTATTATTAAATTATACTGTGTATTTACACCTTGGTAATTTATTCTAAAATAAGAGCTTTGATAGAATTTTAAATACACTGAATTAAATGTGTATCATGTTCTAAATAATCATAAGAGAGCAATTCAATGTCATTTAAGTACAATAAGGCCTCGTATATTTGGATTCACTTGACCACATTTAATAAATCCAGAGAGAACCCAAACAGAAGAAGTCCTAGAGCATGGACTCCCAAAATAGGGTCCTTGACCAGCAGCCACAGTACCGTTTGAGAACAGGTAAGAAGGCAAATTCACAGGCCCCACCTGAAAACTACTGAACCAGAAACTCTGCAGGCAGGGCCCAGTGATGCCAATGCCCATTAAAGCCTGAGTGCCAGTGAGTTAGAAATAACTTAATCAGATTCACCTGGGGCTCCCGACTGTAGCCAATTCCTAGAGGATGAGGCCTTAGTCCCACTGAGACGGGAGGATGTCCCCGGACCAAGCTTATAAAGCTCTATGAGACGGGCCAAGCACGAAGATGAACAAAGATGAATGAGAGGCAAGAGGCAGGTAAAGAGACCAGTGTAAGTCTTTCCTAGATTAAAAACTAACAC